TTTCTCTGCTGCTGCATTGTCTTCCTTGTAAACATAATGGGAGCATTGAGCTAATCAAGTTGTGAATTTACCATCATCAGATTCCTCTCACCTGGAGAATTAGGGTCAGTTTTTAGAAATGTACTCTGTACTAGAGGTGAGGTGAACTGTAAGCCGCAGGTTGGCAGATGCTTCAGTCTCTTACAAATAATGAATAGTCACCACGACAGGGGTTGTCTATGTAGTGTTCCAAATCTGTGTCTCTAAATTTTAAAATGCCAGATGATCGTTTTCTGGCCAAATGATTTTCGGGCATAAAAATCCTAAATATGCAAATTAGTTCTGTGAAGTAACTGGCTGTCTCCTCGAGGCTGGCAAAATGTTAGGCGTGATTAAGCAGCCTTTAATAGCAAATGATTGATAATGGCAACAATCATGGGAAATATTTTTTTTCTGGTAGGTTTATTTTGTGTTACTATACCCTAAGAAGAACTCGTGGGACAACCATTTTGAAAGAAGAAAAGTTAAGAGGCTGAATTCATTAGAATCCTTTGGTGTGGAAAGAAAAACAGCTGCTGAGAGGTGAATGGACAGAGATAGTAGCAACAACGAAACGTGTTATGTTAGAAAAACAGAAGCTTTTCTTAAAAATTATAAACTACTGAATACAAAACTACATTTCTTACAATTTTACTGAGGTATATTTATGGCATTTTATCTTAGTGGATAATATACTGATACTATGACTACTTTGATAGGAGGGTCAGGCAGAACAGTTTAACAAATGCATGTATGAAAGGGCCATGGATGGCTTCAAAGAGGAGCTAAGGCTCAGCTAGTGTTGAACGATTACATACTAGAGCATCATCATGCCGTCTCCTAGGAAGCAGTAAAATACAGCGGACCAAACACACAATTTAGTTCAAATTCATAACTGAGTTTGAAATCTGGCTTTGTCCCTTTTCAGCTACACGCCTTTGGTCAGGTTGTTTAACTTCTCTGAGGCTCATTTTCCTCATATGTAAAAGAAGAATTATATAATTTTCTTCATAGAGAGTCAGGAGGAGTGAAGAACTATAAGCAAGACTCTTACTCCTTTGGCACCCAAAACTCATTGCATCGCCAGCCACCTGGCCTGAGCCAGGAGGACCAATCTCATTAAGCACCTGATCCCCATCACTCTCAGAAGGAAGCTGGGACTCCCAGGTAATCCCACGTGTGGGGACTCTAACCTCCATATGGCCACGTGGACAAGCAGACGTTCCTTTTCCTTCCTGCATGCATGCATTTTCTTGGAAGAATTTACCATCATCTGATACTATGGTTTAATATTTCAGTAATTTCTAGGTTTCTTTATGAAATCCTTCTTTCTAAAATGTAAGTAACTAGTAAAAATATAAGCTTCACGACTCTGGGAAATGTTGTCTGTTTTGCTCCATGCCACATCCCTAAGGCCTTAAGAACGTGCTGCGTACACAGCAGGCACTTGCTCTATGTCCCTTTTCTTGCACTCGCTCTCCTAAGGCTCTCCTAGAACCTTACTTGGGACTTTTGTTGGTAAGAACACTGAATGCCATGGTGCATGAGCTGATCTAACACACTGCCCCCCCCCACAAAAAAAGGGGGGAAACCCCAAACCCCTTTCTGTGTTAAAAAACAAAACTAATACTGATCTAGAAACACAGTCCTGTCTTATTGTAGAAATAAATCAAGTTAGGCACAGGAAACAAAACTCTGAGTTTGATCTTTCCTTGAATGAGTTTCCTTCTCTCACTATTTTGGAGTGTGTTCTGTGCACTAATTATCTTCATTTAGTTCAGACCTGTTAGAGGAGTGGAAGAGCGGTCCTGGGCTGATCCTTGGCCCTTCTACTTCACAGCACTGTGAACTTGCCACGCTCAGCTTTCGCAAACATAAAATTAGTATAATACAAAGGTCTGCTCTATGAACTTCAAATTTTCATATTAGATACTTAAAGGATTATGAACTGTAAACCCTAACATGCTAACTAGGTACAATTTATTATTACTAGAGCCTGCCTTTCATTATCTTCTTTGGTGTTTAAATAAATATCAACTGTATGTGTAAAAGATAATTGTTTAAACTTCCTTAAAATAGAAGATAGGATATTTTAAAAAACGTTTTCTTACTCTTTCTAAGAAGTGAGAAAACTTGATATCCAAAGTCATCTAGGGAATCACAAAAATAAACAACAAAATTACAGACTAACCTTATAGAGAATGCTACAATGTTTTAAAGAAATAATACATGAGGACATAGTTTTTATCCCCCAAATGATCTTCCAGACACAAGGACATTCACTAAGGTAACTGATTTTATTAGCAGTTTAACCTACATAAATCCAGGGAGGCAAAAGTTCCAGTCTTTGTATAAAACCTCACTCGTATTAGCAAATGTAACTGTGTAGTAATTAAAAGGTGCTTTGAATTCACAAAATGTATGTCAGATATAGAAATACATTCTTAATACATAATGAAACTTTCAGAAGCTTCTAATTTTTTCTTCTACATATTTATCACACCCCTATTAATCGCCTTAAAAATGTTTTACCCCAAACCACCTTCCCGCACACCTGGCTCGTATATTTTTGTTTCTTACTTCACAGCTTTCAATTGCTCTCTCTTTTTTTCTTCAAACAGCAATTCTCTGTGCTTTCTGAAGTAGGCCCCTTTAGATTCTTAGCTTTTCCTAACCTCCTTTTTCCTTACCACCATCTTTACAAAAGGCTAACAGGGCTGATGAGGCAACAGGGAGTCAGAATAAGGAAGAAGAGTGGGGAGGAAGGGACGCCGGGAACTGCAAAATGCTCCTTACCCGGTGAGTGGAAACTCAAAACTAGTCACTCTGAGTCGATATGTTTTACTCAGCTGTAGTAGATTAACGAATAAGAACCTTATGGTTATTTTGATAAATTCTTCAGAAGCATTTAATAAAGTTATAAACCTTTCCTAATAAGTATTTCTTAGCTGGTACTGAAAAAAACTTCTTAAATTCAGATTATTATTATATATTTTTACTTTTACATTAAAGCTTTTTAATATATATCTTTTATTGTTCAATTACAGTTTACATTCAATAGTCTATTAATTTCACATGTACAGCACATTGGGAAGACATTTATATAACTTATGAAGTGATCCCCCCCCCCCAATAAGCCTAATACCCATCTGGCGCTATACATAGTTATTATAATATCATTGACCGCATTCCCTGTGCTGTACTTTACATCCCTGTGACTATTTTGTAACTGACAATTTGTACTTCTTAATCCCTTCACCTTTCTCACCCAGCCGCCCCCTTCATCCCCCAATTTGGCAAACATCAGTTTGTTTTCTGGATCTGAGTCTGTTTCTATTTTGTTTGTTCATTTATTTAGATTTTTAGATTCCACATATAAGTGAGGTCATATGGTCCTCTAAAAATCAGTAGTGATAAAAAGAAAGTATTTACATTAAATTAATAAGAGTTGAGAACCAGGCAATGAATTACAATTTGTGACATACAAATACTAATACTAATACCAATATTAATATTATTGGGTTGTCGGAAAAGTCATGACATGTGAGCTTTTTAAAATTTTATTTATTTATTCATTTTTTATTTTTTTATTATTGTTAGTTTCAGGTGTACAAAACAGTGCAATACTTATCCTTTTCACCTCTCACAAAGTGACAACTCCGCTCCCCCCATCCACTACTCCACCACCACCGATATCATACATATCTATTACAATTCCATTGACTCCATTCCCACACTATACTCCACATCCCATGACTATATATGTACTAAATTATAGTTGACATATAATATTATTCAATGGCAGCTTCAAATGTACAGTGCGGTGGTCAGGCCTTTACACTGTCTATGAAGTGGTCTCCCTAACAAGACATGAGTCCATCTGGCGCCCTAAAAAATATTTACCACATTATTGATTATATTCCCCAAACTGTCTTTTCTATCCCTGAGGCAATATTGTAGTTACCAATTTATGTTGTCTCGTCCCTTCCCCTTCTCCCTTATCCCCACCCCCGTCTCATCTAGCAATCATCAGTTTTTCCTGTGCGTCATGATGCATTTTTACAACGAAAAACAGAAAAAAATACATCATGACTTTTCCGACAACCCAATAATATTAATACTAATACCAATACTAATACTAATATTAATACCAATAATATTAGAATCATATTATAAAAGTAAAAATGGAATTCGCTGTCTGGTTCTTAACTCTTGTTAATTTGATGTGAATACTTTCTTTTAATCACTACTGATTTTTAAAAAAACAGATATCCTGGTTGATTACTCTCTAATGAGCAAATAAAAATGTGTCTGCAGTCTGGATTTCCTGAATCAGAATCTCTGAAGGTTGGGGCCTGAGCATCTTTGACTTGAAACAGCTTCTCTGGTGAACCCGATACACGTGTTACCTGCCATCTAATATCAAAAGGAAGACCGGTAGCTACACTATTCATTTCAGAGTGAGATAGATGGAGACCAGGACTCTGGAAAGCTGTGGGAAGTTCTATGGAGATACAGAGATGAGAGACATTGATTCTGACGGAGAAGCCTTCACAAGAGCTGGCATATTATAGAGTTTGTGCAGGATGAATACACAGCAATAAGAACCAGTTTACAAGGAGCATTCATTGAGTACCTCACGGAAGAGAAGAAAAAGTTTCACTTAAATTCCCTCCTACAGGATAAACCTGCAGATACTTGAAGGCCGACTTCTTGCCTTTTTCTAAAGAAAACATCTCAGTTTTTTGGTGTTGAGGAATATTTAAACATTAAGCTTTACAAGTCCTGATATGTGAAAACATACCATTATAAGCACTTTCATCAGAATCCAAATACAAATCTATCTTCAAAACAAACAAATTGACATTCTGGCATCTCCAAATTTCTAACAAAGACACATATCACAAGCAACTTCATTTCATGTCAGTTGCATTTTTAGTTTAGTTTTTTTGTTGTTGTTGTTGTTTTGTTTTTTTACTAACCTCCAAAGTAAGAGCCATCTGTCAGCTTCATCTCTTTACTGGATTTTGTGATGACACCAGCAACACCATGTTGAATGAAATACATTTTTTTCCCCACAGCTCCTTCTCGTATGATATAATCTCCAGGTTGAAACACCTCGAATCTCAACTTGCTCAGCATGGCAGTCACAAAATTAGGATCCGCATTAGCAAAAAGAGGCATTGTTGCCACTAGTTTCCGACAGTTGAAGTTGACTATCTCCTAAAGATGGCAAGAGTAAACAAATATTAGGATATTAATCATATCAGGAAGAGGAATGTGCTAAAATGAAAATATATGTTATATATATATATATATATATATATATATATATATATATATATATATATATATATATGGCATAACATCACAGTTTAAACTCAGAACCAAAAATCTATAAATTCTAATAATCTACATATCTCTTCAAAGCTAAGGATTGTTTTCTTTCTGAATTGAAATTTTGTATTCCCAGCTCCTAGGGTAGCACAGGTGTATATTACACATTTGATACATGTTAACTAAATACATACAATTGTCAACTTTTATAACTTTGCATGTATTATTTTTCATATAAAATTAGAGCTTCTAAAACGTGAAAGGATTTTAGTCTTTTTTTTATCTTTTCTATAAAGAAAGGAAGCCACATCATTTCCTATTAGCTACGTCATTACTGTTTCTGTGTTCCATTGTGCCAAGCAATCTAACTTACACCCACTGAAAGGAATTCTGAAACCAGGGCCCTACCGCCTGACAACAGAATTTTGATGTTTTCTCTTAACATCCTTTGCATTGGAGTGAGGACAACGGCGAGTGCAGAGAAAGATTACCTACAAGTGCCTCTAACTCTAATCTGTAAATACCAATTTGATCTGTTTCCAGCTAGATCAGAAAATCACTCTATCCAAAGCCTCTCATGTTTTCATGGGAAGTCTTTCATTGGAGAGAGGTCTCATTCTCCTTTGCCTGATTTGTTTGTTTTGTTTCTGGGCAGGCCAATTTTATATTAGAAGATTGACATGTTTCATTTCATTCTGTGGATTATGGTCCAGATTCCACATCTCTCAGGACAAAAATAGGGATATGGAACCAACCATTTTTAATACTGCAAGCATGTAACAGAATGAACAGTGTGAATCTAAATTTTACCACAATGCCATTTCTCAGAAATTGCTTCTCCAATGAGCCTCTAAAGAAAACGGAGGAAGCTGAATTTGTCATCTTGCTTAAGATACACAGAAACTGAAGTAACCTCTGGCTAAGAGGTAGGAAGGGGGCAAAAAGAAATGGAGGTATCAACAGAGAGCCTGAGTTTTGAATTCCCTGTTTTGGGGAAATAAGTTACACAAACCTCTGGATTCCAAGACTGGGAAAAATGGTTTCCCTAGTCCTGCTTCATAAAATGACCTGAGGTTATACTGGGATAGGTTAAAAAAAAAATCCCAACTGATAGAGAGGGCATACAATTTTGGGTCCATCAGGGAACAGAAGCAATTTCATCTTCAGTAATATCTTGTGAGTTCAGCAGAACAGAGAAGTCTCTGTAATAGTGGAGGTTCATGGAGGATTGTAACATATTTAAAAGTCAGTAGCAAGAACCAGAAAATGAATATAGCAACACAAACAAGAGAAAGGTATTATATATGTGGTACTTGGTGCAGCACCATCCAAGCCCAACCAAGTCAGGCGCAGTTGACTCCATGGGTGGCTGTGTCTAGGAGACCTGTGGTCAGTTCTAGCTGGTGCTGAAGAGCTGTGGTGGGAGGTGAGCACTACAATGAGGGTGGGCACGTAGTACGTGCTTAATAAACATGTATGCATGCATGGTTGGATGGAAGAATAGCTGAAAGGAAGGCGATAAAAAGGAAAGAAGGAAGCTAGAGTTTCATCAGTGGAAAAAAGTACTCACAAAGCTTACATTTATTTCTGTTGGGAGTCGTTAATGAAAACTCAGCATGCTTTCTCAAACAATCAGCTTGAGAAACAAGTGTTATGTGTATCAAAAATGTGCTTTGTACTATTTGAAATTCTTCTCTACAAAACCCACATGAAGATAAAAGGTAGAATGGAGTTAAAAAACGACAAAAATGTGTCATTAAAATGACTGGGTGGATTGTTTAAAAGTTAATGATCTCACATGTAAAATGAAAGAAGAATACTGTGTAGGAAACTGAAAATAAGTCAGATTGCAGAGAAAATAAGTGTTTTAAAATAAAAATAATAAAGGGGCTCCTTTTATCTATGTTCTTTTATTTTGACTATACAAAAGTTTCTCTTCATTATTCTCTTACATTTTAGAAAATATTTGAAAGTGTATTTCATAAACAATTAAACTGGCATTAGTTTATATGATGAAAAAGAAAAAGAAAAACTTCTTTTTCTGTGATGGGCTGCATATTCAGGGGTACCTGGTGGAAATGCCTTGATTATAACACTGCTGGGATAATTTCATATAATTGTTATTACTTGAAGGAATCCACTCATTTTCTCTCTCTCCATGGAACTTTTACTTCCATGTAAACACTATCTGATAGAAACTGTGAATTCTAACAAATATTTGATAGGAAAAGATGTAATGAGACAGTAACTTCTTTGCATCTAAAAGCGTTCCCTCCTTTTTATATTTCAGGCTGTACTTCATTTTATGACTATGACACAATGTATTTATCCATTGTACTCTTCATGACATTTGGGTTATTTCCAGCTTTAGGCTAATAAAATAAACCTGTTATGAGTATTTAAAAATTTTTCATTAAATTTATTGGAGTGACATTGGTTAGTAAGATTATATAGGTTTCAAGTGTACAATTCTATAATGCATCATGCATATATTGCATTGTGTGTTCACAAACCGGAGTCCGTTCTCCTTCCATCACCATATATTTGAGCCCCTTTTCCCTCTTCTACTATCTTCTCTCCTCCCCTTACACTCTGATAGCTGATAAACTGTTGTTTGTGTCTATGCGTTTTTGTTTGTCTTGTTCATTTGTTGTTTTCAGTTTTATATCCCACATGAGTGAAACCATGTGGTTCTCTACTTTTTCTGTCTGGCTTATTTCACTTAGCATGATAATCTTAAAATCCATCCATGTTGTCACATATGGCAGTATTTCATATTTTCTTATGGCTGAATAATACTCCATTGTATATACATACCACATCTTCTTTATCTAATCATCTATTGAAGGATACATTGGTTGTTTCCATGTCTTGGGCATTGTGAATAATGCTGCAGTGAACATCAGGGTGGATATATCTTTACGCATAAATGTTTTCAGATTTTTTGGGTAGTTACCCAGCAGAGGGGTTTCTGGGTCATGTGGTAGTTTTACTCTTAATTTTTTGAGGAACCTCCATACTGTTTTCCATAGTGGCTGCACCAATTTACATTCCTGCCAGCAGTGTAAGAGGGTTCCTTTTTCTCCACAGCCTCTCCAATACTTGTTATTATTTATCTTGTTGATAAAGCCACTCTAACAGGTGTGAGGTAGTATCTTATTGTGGTTTTGATTTGTATTTCCCTAATAGCTAGTGAAGTTGAGTATATTTTCATTCATCTGCTGACCATTTGTATGTCTTCTGAGAAAAATATCTGTTCAGATCCTTTGCTTACTTTTTAATTGGATTGTTTTCTGTTGAGTTGTATGAGTTCTTTACATATTTTGGATATTAGTCCCTTATTGGAGGTGTTATTTGCAATATCTTCTCCCATTTGGTTGGTTGCCTCTTTGTTTTGTTGATGGTTTCTTTTGCAGTACAGAAGCTTTTTAGTTTAATACAGTCTCATTCATTTATTTTTGCTTTTATTTCCCTTGCTTTTGAGGTCAAATTCATAAAATTCTCTCTGAACCCAAGGTCCAGTGCAAATGACATGCTTCTTTATATAGAAAACCCTAAAGACTCCATCAAAATACTATTAAAAACAATCAACAAATCAAGTTGCAGAATACAAAATCCATGTACAAAAATCCATTGCATTCCTATATACTAAAAATAAAATTTCAGGGAAAAAAATCATTTTGTAATTGCAACAAAAAGAATAAAATACCTAGGGATAAACTTAACAAAGGATGTGAAGGACCTATACACTATTAAAAACTGTAAGACTTTCTTAAAAGAAATTGAAGAAGACACAAAGAAATGGAAAGATATTCCATGTTCATGGATTGGAATATTTGACATAGTTAAAATGGCCATATTACCCAAAGCAATATACAGATTGAATGCAATCCCCATCAAAATCCCAATGGCATTTTGAAGAAATAGCATAAAACCCATCAGATTTGTATGGAATCACAAAAGACCCCTAATAGCTAAAGCAGTCCTGAAGGAAAAACAAATAAACAAGAAAACAAGGCTGGAAGCATCATACCCCCTGACTTCAATTTATATTACAAAGTGACAATAATCAAAACAGCATGGTATTGGCAGAAAAACAGACACACAGACCAATGGAATAGAATTGAGAACCCAGAAATAAACCCACACATACATGAGCAGTTAATTTTCGACAAAGGAGCCAAAGACATACAATGGAGAAAAGGAAGCCTGTCCGACAAATGGTGCTGGGAAAATCGGAAAGCCGAGTGCAAAAGAATGAAACTAGACTGCTGTCTGTCACCATGTACCAAAATTAACTCAAAATGGATCAAAGACCTAAACATAAGACCTGAAACAATAAACTGCATAGAAGAAAGCATAGGTACTAAATTTACTTGGAGTGCCTTATGCACTGATTTATCTTGAATATTTATCTTATGTTGGAATTGCTGGGTAATCGGGTAAGCATATATTTACTTTACTAGTAGTCACTGCCAAAAGTTTTCTAATATGATTGTATTATATTTTTCACGTAGCAGCAATATGTAAAGTTCCAGTTGTCCTATATCGTTGGCAGAATCTGATGTTATCCTCTTTTAATTTTAGCCCTTAGTAGGTATGGAAATATATTATTGCTTGGTTTTACTTTTTCTCATTGTGGTTTAATTTTACATTTGTCCAATATTTGATGTTGTTACGCTCATTTTCATAGGTTTATTGGGAAGATGGATATCCTATTAGGTGAAGTGCCCAGTCAAGAGTTTTCCCTGGTGTTTTCGATTGTGTGAGTTCTTTTCATAGTTCTAATGTGAGTTCTTTGTTGGGGTATACATTGTGAATATCTTCTCCCCATCTGTGGCTTGCCTCTTCATTCTCACTGGTATCTTTTCCTGTTATTGTTTTGT